GTTGAAACAGCTGGGGGCGAAGCCTCCCTCGCAAGCCTTCTCGTAGTACTGCCGAGCCACCTTCGCATCAGCTCCCCCCTCCATGGCTCGCCCATCATGGGCAAGCAGAGCTATGTTGTGACAAGCATCCACAGACTTCTTCCCTTTGCTGTTACATGCCTTCATAAAACAGGAGTATGCCGTCTTTAAACACTCCGTCACACCACCTGATGTCAAAAGAAGCAGTCAGTTGTTGAAATATAACATAATAACAATATATTTATTTTTAACATATACTACATTTACAAATATTTATTAATATAGATTTTGAATATAAATACTCTAAAGTTCAGCTATAATATATATGAAGTTTAATTTTGGAATATGAATTATTATTAAAATATATAACTTTCATTTCTAATTATAAAAAAATTCTTTATGATTTTTGAATAAGCAAACACGTAGCAAATTATTTGTCCTTTTTCATTGCATACATATGAATTTTGTTCTTTTATTTTAATATGTCATTCATAACAACATTTAATAAAACTACAATAAATATAGTAATACATTATATATAATATTAAATGTAAATTTTTATTATACATTCATATTTGTTATTGTCATTATTGTTTTGTCATTTCCTACATATTTTGATTAAAAAAAACACTCGACATTTTAGACTTTTAAATTATATTTTTTTCATTTTCAGCATGTCTACTGTAGTACAGATAAAATACATAAATAAAAAATTATATTTTGAACAGTAAAAAATTTGATTTATATTACAAGTAAAATGAAAGTAATATGAATAAAAAATATGTAGACACGTTAAAATCATAGCAATTTGATTGACTACAGATTTGTTTTGTTAAAAATCATAAAGGAATAATAATTTAATGTCTAAATTTTGGACTAAATCCTATTTTTATCAAACCTGCATCATCTGAAATTCTAAGAAGAATAAAGAAATAGTAAGTTATTTGATCCCATTAGGATTAAGTCAAACAAATAACAGAAAGTCAATTATACAATTTCTAGGGTTTTTATTTATTTATTTATTGGCAGTGGAGAAACAAGCTTTTAGATATGAATACACTTGTATGTTAATTACGTAATAATAAGTATTATTTATTAAATATTCAGTATATGTGTTTGTTTGTGTGTGGATAGTAACTGTGTGAGCATGCATATCAATCAATTATGCAGTCCAATATGAATTATATTAGTAATGAAAGACAATTATGTAATTAGAATTCTAAAAGTGATTACTAGGATTTTGACATTTGGAACAAGCTTTTAAGATTTGCATTATTCTAAATTCTACTAATACATACTGGCTTTACCTTTGCCGGTGACATGGTAAGCGCCGAGCTTATAGCAGCTCTCTCCATGGCCATTCCCCTCGCAGTTGTGCTTGAGAACCTGAGCTGTGGACTCATAGTTCTTCTTCACACCCTCCAAATAATCTGCCAACCTCTGACACCCTAACAAACACCAGAAACACAGAAGAATGGGATCAGGTGAAGCCGCTATGAACGCCGTTCAGAACCCGCGCGAGAGGGACAGCGCTCAACTGACCTTCAGGATCTTTCTCCCGGTAACACTGATAACTGTACTCCACTCCTAAATTATCCAGAAACTGCTTCACCTCCTGTTCGTCCTCGAAGTTAATCAGCCCGGCCATGTGGTAACAGATTTCCGCTCACTTGCATTGACCGGCTGAAGGTCTCACGTCCACAACTTTTGACCTTGGTCACTGATTAGTTGTGCAAAAACTTGCAGGAAAATGAATTTTAAAAAAGAATAATAAAAGCATCCGTTCAAAGCACAGAGATTCGTTTAGCTGAATTTAGACACGTGTTCTCAAATATTCACAATTATAAACAGTTACAGAACAACGTGTTCACACTACACACGCACAGAAACCGGAGATCACTTCCTGCTTCGCTCAAAGTCACCGACGGGCTTCCGTAGGCCCCGCCCATCTTTTTTTTTTTTTTGTGGATGTTTTTGTCTTAAAGGGGTCATATGATGCTGCTAAAAAGAACATTATTTTGTGTATTTGGTGTAATGAGTTACGCTTTCTTTCTTTGCGTGAACATTTGGGCGGCTTTATGCAAATCTTCCCACATAGTGAGGTAGGTATGTGGGGGCGTGTTCGAACGAGCCGTTTTAGGTAGGTGTGGCTAACTCTTAACTTTTATAAAGAATATCTCTTTGGATTTGAGACTTTAGTCTTTGCAACTTTACAGATCTTCTTTATGCACCAAGAGCTTGTAACACTCTAAAGAGAAAGGAAAAAATGAAATCGCATCATATGACCCCTTTAAAGCTTTTTGGTGCGAGTTATGTTCCTATTTCTCTGAAAAATAAGTCAGAATATGTCTAAATACTTTTAATATGATTTTTCTTTACAACGGTTGACATTTCCGTATTCAGAGGGCTACATTGGTAATCTATTTTTTTTTATACTTGGCAATTTTTCATACACAAATGCAATTTTTTTTTTTGTTCTGTACTTGTTGATACAATTTTATGTAAGTCGTTTGGCATGAATTTAAAAAAATAGATAAAGGAATATTAAAATTGGTCTTTTTATAATAGTTCACAGCCACATTTTAGATTTCCAAAAAGCATAATATAGCATTTATGGATATAAAATAATACATTTAAATTAAATTATTAATAAACAAAATGTCATTTATAATGAAATGTCTATTTCTGCCAGAATCTTGCTGTCTTGAATATCACAAGATCACAAATAATCTAAGACTTAATTCTTTTGGCCAAATACTACATTTACAATGTGAATAGCATAAAATAGAACCTGTATATACTGCATGTTGCGATACTGAGTTATAGAAAATATAAAAACTTAAATAAAACTTAGATTTTGAAGCCTTATAAAAAGAAAAACTTAAAACTTGAAATAGAACTTGACTTGAAAACTTAAAAAAAAAAAAAAACTCGAAAACTTAAAACTAAATACTTCTAAAACTACAAAAATTGTACCTTAAACTACCTTGGAAACCATAAAACTACCAAAACTTTATATTCTTTGTGGTCAAAAATGTATGTAACTGACTTATTTATAAGTGTACTGTCGTTAATCATCTTACATTATTGTTACAAATACCGTCATGTATTTACTCTAGCCGTTTTTATGTTTTTGTACTAATGCAAATACACAGATAAAGTTTATCTTTCGTAGGTCCAATCTTGCTTTGGCTGAATTCAGAAAATCATAATTTTTTACATGTCAGAAATATTAAATTTACTGTGCTAGTATGCTATTCTGTACTGAGCCCTTGTGGCAATAGAAAATACGGTCTGTAGATTCGACTTGTCCATTCGCCTATGGAGAGTCCCCACAAGGATAGCTGACCAGACATGTGTGTGTGTGTGTGTGTGTGTGTGTAGTTCACAGCTAAAAAAAATAAAATAAAATGTGCTTACAAAAATGCATCCTAAACTCAAGAAATAAAAACTCTTATAAGTGTATTATTGTTATCATCTTACATATATTACTGTTCTTATATTTTCGTACTAATGCAAATACACATATAAGTTGAGCTTCCGAAGGCCCGCCCACTTGACGGGCGCTTTTGAAGCACTGCTTCGTGAAGCTTCGAAGCCTTTGCGAATCATTTGTTTCGAATCAGTGGTTCGGAGCGCGTATCAAACTGCCAAAGTCACGTGATTTCAGTAAACGAGGCTTCGTTACGTCATAAGCTGTTTCGAAACGTTTGGGGGCGATGATGATGTCTGTGAACCCGTGAATCCTGCGAGTTCATTGAGATCGCCCCGCCGCGGAGAACCACTGAACCAGCGTCTATGGCCTCTACCTGATCTCGGATCAATTTGTAGACATTTCTAACCTGTCATTTGTGTTATTAAAATGATGAGTAGTAGTTAATAGTCTCTTATTGGCCTGTTTAGAGAAGCTCTCCATAAAACAAATAAACAACCCCTGCAAATTAATAATAATTATTAAAAAAAACACACACACACAAATTATACAGACACTTCATATTTAATGGTATTTTATTATTTTAATTGCATTTACTTTTACTTTACTTTTAGTCATTTAGCAGACGCTTTTATCCAAAGCGACTTACAAATAAGAAAAAGTAATTAAAACTAAAAGCTAAAACTCTATAAATACTATATATATACACACATTTAAGAAAATAAAAGAAATTAAATAAAAATGACAAATGCATACAACATTTCAAAACTAAACATTTAAATGAAAACAAAAAAATAAAGCTAAAAACAATTCAAAATATTAAAAGAACAAAAGGTATGAGTATAATAATGATTCTAACATAACACTAAGCCAAACACCAAAAAACAACTACATATGTGTATGTACAACCACACACGTATACATGTACATATATATAAATACATCCAATATATATATATTATTTCATTTCCATTTTGTATGTTGAAGTACTGAAATAACTCAAATTAAATAAAAGTAAAACTTAATAAAAAGCCTATATAGACATAATAAAAAAACTAATAAAATGACAACATGACTACAACTGTAACTAAAACTAAAAAAGAGAACTAATACAAATCAAACTACATTAGTTTATCAGTAATCCTAAAAAAAAATAACACTGAGCCAAACACACATGCTAAAATAACAACAACTTACGGACACATAGTAAGAAATGGTTATAAAAAAAAGTGAAACAGAAGTGAAACAAGTAGTAGGAAAGAGGAGAAATAAAAAGCGATACTTATTACTGAATTTAATATATTATACTTTCAAGAAAGCATTTGCATTGCATTGGGTTTGTAAAAGCTGTTTTTTGCATGTCTTGGCCTGAGTTTTTGTCGCATTTACACAATTTTGACCAGCAGGCGTCACCGGCGTGTGGTGTTTCGAGCGCTTCGAATCAGTGAATCATTTTGCGAAGCAATTGGTTCAATTGATTCGAAGCTTCGAAAAGGGTCGTTTCTCCCGTCGCTGCCGCCCACAGCCCCTCCCCCTCTGATGCAGATCCGTTTCCCGTGTGACGACCTTGTTTACTTGTCAAGACGTCGCTGCGCTTTCCTCCCGATATAAAACCCCGTCAGAATGGCTGACAGCACGTTGTGATCGGAGCACATACGATCCCTTAAACAACAATGCAAACGAGGAACAGAAGCTACAGTTACTGATAGCGGCCCGTGTACTTTTAATCACCAACAAGTAGGATCCGCAAATGTTTGAAGACAGATGTGTGAAGGCTAACTAACAGGCTAAGAAGCTTAAGAGCATTTCAGTCGGATTGTATTTGATCTCCACCTCAACCCACCGGCCATTATCCGCAGAATACGAGCGTTTCTTTCGTTTTGAGGCCGTTCAAATACATCTCTTTGAGACCATGGTAAGGCTTTACATGTCACACTACTGTATGTAGAAGACGTGTGCAGTTCACCAGATCATTCATTTCATTCTTCAGATGGTAAAGTACTCTAAATCAAGCTGCTCAACTCTGAGGTTTGTGGTAACATGTTGGTGGTCATAAATTGTGTTCATTAGGGATGACTGACTGTCTAAAGATTCTTTATACGATGTTTTCTTAGTTCTTTATTGCGCTGATCACAAGGTTAGGTACAAAAGGTTATCGGTTCAAACCTTCAAGGGTTGGTGATCCATGATCTTGAACCATTGGGTCCTTGAGCAAAACCAACACTTTCTCCAGCTGTCAATTTGTAGACTACATGCTTTTCGATATTGTTTCCCACGGACCACAAAACATGATCATCTTAATGCGAGGGACCCCTATCCTAATACGTAAAAATGAAAATGATAATATAAAACTATGTTGCTGCCAATATATACTATACCAATTTTAAAAAAATTAGTAACTTTTAAGTTACATATTTTTTTTCTCCACTTGCTATAGTATTGTACTGTTCAATGTATTATTTAAATCCAATTTTGTTTACTTATTTGAATCAAAATTGTATTTATTTAAATGTAACTTTATTGAAATCTTTTTTTCTTCTTCTGTTATTTATGTTATTTATGACGTCCTGAACATGACATGGACAAAAACATATTTATCGTGGCCACGGAAAATCATCATCTTTATGTGTCAGATATATTAAAAGTAGTATGCTATTCTGTATTGTGTCTTTTTGTAATATAGTTCACGACCATTTATTTTTAGTTTACTTTCATATCTCAGAAAAGTATAAAATAGCATTTATGGGTATAAAATGTACTTAAAATACTACATATACATTAAATTATAAAAAAATTATATGTAACTTAGAAAGAAATCTCTTGCTTTCTCAAATACAATAACTATAAATTATCTTATTAGTAGCCAGAAACTGCATTTGCAAAATAAGAATAGCATAAAAAATACTCGTACTGTATTTTGCAATATTGAATTAAAGAATTTGTTCCTCCTTTTTATTATTCCATTCCCTCGTTTTAGTTTAATCGTGGCCACGAATTAAGAATTTGTTCCTATGACTTAATTTGTTCCTTCATTTAGTAAATCATGGCTAAGTTGTATTAATTTGTTCCACTGGTTTTTGATTTAATTAAAATGAGGGAACAAATTAGTACAACAAGGTCAGGATTTAACTAAAACGAAGGGACAAAATATGTTGTGGGGACTAATTCTTAAATCATAACCACAATATATATTTTCTTTTTTAATAAATCTGCAAAGATGTCAACAATTCTGTGTTTTTCTGTCAATATGGGGTGCTGTGTGTACATTAATGAGGAAAAAAAATTAACTTAAATGATTTTAGCAAATGGCTGCAATATAACAAAGAGTGAAAAATTTAAGGGGGTCTGAATACTTTCCGTACCCACTGTATATATATAGTTATTTGATTTAAATATTTATTTAAATTTTACACTGTTTTTCACTAATCTTTTCCACATGTCCCTGGCACTCCCTTGTGGCCCCCTAGTTGATATGAAAGGATCTATTATCCATTTAAGAGACTGGTTGTCCACTCAGCTGTCTATAAAAGTAAAACCACCAGCTTAGTCATTACTTACAATCTGACACATCAAAGAGTTTTTCATAGCCATTCGAATGAAAGAAAACCTCTCAAACCAGTAGCCTAGGATAAGAAAGGCATATGAGGGCTGAGATCACGAGGGTGTGTCTGATTTGATGTTGTTGTTGCAGGACGAGGCATCCCCGCCGTCTCTGACTGATCTGTGCATGACTCTGGTGAGCTCCAGGCTGGAGCTCTTCTGTGAGATGCGTGATGACGGCTCGCTCTCCTTCCGTGAGCCGCTGGTCTTCCCGCAGGAGCTGGCCGACCAACTGCTCTGCAAGATGGCCACTGAGGGTGAGAGCGAGCCGTCCTGTATTTCAAGGAATGTTTCACAAACTTAAGATGACATTTCTGCACATGGAACAATGATTGTTTGTTCGATATTTCTGATAGTTCATCCAAAAATAAAGACTCATTTACTCACCTTCATGTCACTCCAGACTTGTAGGACGTTCTTCTGTGGATCACAAAAGAAGATCATTTAAAGAATGTTTGTAATAAAAAATAAATAAATAAAAAAACAGACATTTCTCTAAATATTTTTATGTTCCTTAGAAGAAAATGTCATACAGGTTTGGAAGAATATGAGGGTGAGTAAATGATGACAGAATTTCCATTTTTGGGTGAACTATCCCTTTAAAAAACAATTTTATCATCAAGAGGACAGAAAAAATCATTTTAAATGTTTATCAGTAAAACAAGACACAACCTTGACAATTGGAGCTTAAGGAATAATTCATCAAGAATTAAAGTTACACTATAATTTATTCACCCTTAAGGCCCTTTCACACGGTACCCGGCAGTCGCGAGTGTCTAGTACATTCTCAATGGGAGACATGCGGAAAGCGGCAAAACACGGGCAGTTTCGCTGGCGGAGCGCAAGCGGTGCTCGTGCACCCAAAATCCTGCCGCTTCCACGGGCACGGCCCTTCGCGGCAGGTGCCGCCAAAGATAAAAATATTTTATCTTTTTGTGAGCGGCAGCGGCAGTCGCATCGGTTTCAACCAATCAGTGAACGTTTTACTGAACTGCCTATTAGAAAAATAGAAAAGATTGTTTTAAGTGTAATAGATTGCGGCAGCCGCGTGGCGATTCCACCGCTTGCCGCGTCCCATGTGAAAGGGCCTTTATCCTTGAAAAAGTAGAATAAACAGCATAAAAGTAGTTCACATGACACATTTGCTATATCTGAATCTTCTGAAGCTTTGTGTAAGGAACAGACCAAAATGAAATTGAATGATTCTGGTTCCAATTCAGTGTAATGATTCCATTTAATAATAATAATATTATATATATAAAACCCTATTGAGCATCTGTGGGGCATCCTCAAATGGAAGGTGGAGGAGCGCAAGGTCTCTAACATCCATCAGCTCTGTGATGTCGTCATGGAGAAGTGGAAGAGGACTCCAGTTGCAACCTGTGAAGCTCTGGTGAACTCCATGCCCAAGCGGGTTAAGGCAGTGCTGGAAAATAATGGTGGCCACACAAAATATTGACACTTTGGGCCCAATTTGGACATTTTCACTTGAGTGTGTACTTACTTTTGTGGCCAGCGGTCTAAGGGAGGCTCATTTTAATAAATAATGAGTAATGGTTTATAGTACTTTAATTTGAAAGTGTGTGTGTGTATATATATATATATATATACACACACACACTTTCAAATTAAAGTACTATAAACCATTACTCATTATTTATTAAAATGAGCCTCCCTTAAATTAGTGTTATTTATTAAATATTGTTATTTATTCATTTTGAATTAGCTTTTTATTAATATATTTTTCAGTTTATTTCCAAAATTTTAGTTTGTTTTAGTAATTTTGTTTTTGTCATGTTTTTTTTTTTTTTGGTTTTTGTTTTTTTGAACCTGAACTTTAATATTTATTTCACTTTTAGTAAGTTTAGTACTTGAATGATTGCCAAGGCAATATTTCTAATTTCAAGTTTTTCTAATTTTTAATATACTGTATATTATTTTAGTTTATCTAATATTTATCGTTTATTTTGTATCAGTTCTATTTCATGTAATAAAAAAATAAGTGTTTTTTTAAAAATACTTTAATTTTAGTTTTAGTTCACAGTAACATTTATTTGCAATCTCTAATTTTGATTCTGAATCCCTATTCACTTTCATTGTATGGAAAAGAACATGAGCAAGAAACATTTTGGGGTAAATCAGGCCCTGTCATAGTGAGTTTAATTAAATGAAACTAACTTTTTTTTTTATTAAAGTTATATTTTTGGCCTTTATTGGATAGGACAGTACAGATCAGACAGACGAGCATGGGCGGAGAGAGGGGGAATAGGTTCTGCAAAGGACCTCGAGCTGGAATTTTAACTATGCTGTATGTCGGCTCAGACGAAATGAATGAATCTATATTCAAAACATAATGATTCTCTTACAGGCCTGTTGAATGACAGCACAGTGGGAATCTTCCGAAGCTGCCAGCAGTTCCGGTTGCGTCACGCCTGCATCCGCACCGCGCGCATCTCCGCCGAGGCCTTCCACCGTGCCCTCTGCCTGCACCGCCTCGTGGAGCTAGATGCTTCACGGGTCAACGCTGACCTCACCATTCCCGACATCCTTCGAGGTTTATCATCCAGTAAAACCTTGCAGGAGAGTCTGCAGCGGCTCGTCCTGAATGGCCTGACCATGTCTTCTCTGGAGGAGCCCAGCTGTCGCTGTTTCAGTGCCATGCAGGGGCTGCGTGCACTCAGTGTGTCCAGTGTCGACTTCTATGACTTGGGCTTGGTGGACGTGTGCACGCTGCCTCGCTTGGAGAGTTTGGATATCTCCAACACCTCAGTGACGAACCTGACCCCGCTCCTGGGCTTGAGAAGCAGACTACGCTACCTCACCGTGCACCAGCTCAAGAGGCTGGAGATGACCACCGCTCAACTGCTGGCTGTGCTCAGTCAGGTCAGCTCTCCATCTGTTTTAATGCTGAGGTCACTGAGGTGACTCCCTTTTTGTGTCATTCAAGAAACAAAGGCATAAATAATTTAATGTCTCTAAAAATGTCATGTGATGTAACCTTCAATTAAAAATTACATTTATATCTTTAAATATATTTTCAATGTAAAAAGTTTTTAGTTTTTTTAGTTTTTTTTGCAAATGACATGAATTATTAATTCATTCTTTTTGTGTCATTCAAGAAACAAAGGCATAAATAATTTAATGTCTCTAAAAATGTCATGTGATGTAACCTTCAATTAAAAATTACATTTATATCTTTAAATATATTTTCAATGTAAAAAGTTTTTAGTTTTTTTTGTTTTTTTGCAAATGACATGAATTATTAATTCATTAATATCATGAAGTTTTTAGGGAGTTGCACCACATGACATTTTACAACCTAAGCCATGCTTGTCTTTTCATAAAAATGTCAAATGATCTGATATTTTCATAGACTTACTGATCTTGACACGGTCAAGAGGGTCTGCAGGCTGCATGATATTAGAAAAAAGGGCTAATTAAATTGGGACAAATTGGTTATACTCATAAAAAAATAACTCGAACAACTTTCAGTGACTATGAATTTGTGTTTTCATAGGCCACATTCCCCCAGTTTTTGACCCATTCAATATAATAATAATATGAATATTTTTGATGTTATTTAATAAAAATGTTAATATAATTTGTTAATAATACTATTATTCTGTAAAATTGAATGTTTAATACATTTTATAGTTTAACTGTAAAATGACATTAGTCATTTGCCTTAATTTATTTTCAAAGATGAAAAAATCAAGCTTTTAAATATTTATCTTAATTTAATTATTTAATATTAATAAGCAGTGAAGCAGTTTTGTTAAATATTAGATATAGATATAAAGGTATGTAAGTATATATATATATATACACACACACACATTTTGACCCATACAATGTTTTTTGGCTATTGCGTATTCTAATGTGTTGAGATAGTGAGTTGGTGGGTTTTTGTTAAATGTGAGCCAAAATCATCACAATTAAAAGAACCAAAGACTTAAACTACTTCAGTCTGTGTGCATTGAATGTATTTAATACACGAGTGTCACAATTTGAGTTGAATTACTGAAATAAATTAACTTTTCCACGACATTCTAATTTATTGAGATGCACCTGTATATATATATATATATATATATATATATATATTCACACTGCACCGACAGCCGACAGAATACAGTACATCACTTCTCAGATGTTCCAAGGCTGACAAACGGCAAAACCTGTATCTAATCAGACAAAACCTGACGAACGTGTCTGTTGGTGCAGTGTGATTTGGCCTAAAGAAGAGCTATATTCAAGTCATTGTAGCTGCGTATTGCAATGAAAATGTATTTTCAAATAAATAGCACAAAATTAATTTGTTGACTTTCAAGAAACTTGTCTCTCTGGCTAGGAAGTTTGTCATTGTGCTTCTGCATGATGATATGTAATTGTACGCACATTGTTTTTCTGTTTCTCCAGCTGGAGGGTTTACAGCACCTTGATATCTCAGACGATAAGCAGTTCACATCCGACGTGGCGCGGCAGCTTCTGGAGACTCCTGGCATCCTGCCCCAGCTGGTGTCTCTGGATGTTTCGGGCCGCAAGCAGGTGACTGATGCAGCGGTCAGGGCTTTCGTGGAGGCGAGACCGGGCATGACCTTCGTTGGTCTGCTGGCCACCGATGCCGGATTCTCTGACTTCCTGTCTGGGGAGGGCAGCTTAAAGGTAGGTGCTCGTATACAACAGCAAGATGTTTTGAAAAATGCAACATTATCCTCATTACCTGCTGCTTATTTTTAGATGTTGTAAATGATTGTAAGATCATGATTATTTTTCTGTTTTTGCAGGTGACTGGAGAGGCCAATGAGACTCAGATCTGTGAGGCATTGAGAAGATACAGTGAGAGAGAGGGCTTTGTCAGAGAAGCTCTCTTCCACCTCTTCAGCCTCACTCACGCCATTGAGAAACCACGACCTGACATCCTGAAGGTACGCATACTCACAAAGATTGAGTGATGAATCAAAGGTCACTGCATTTCTCCATATCAGTCCTCATGTCCCTGCTCGTCACTTTTCTTTTGTTCTCGATCTGCAGTTGGTAGCATTAGGGATGAAGAATCATCCGGCCACACTGAACGTGCAGCTGGCAGCCAGTGCCTGTGTGTTCAACCTCACGAAACAGGAACTGGCCTTTGGAATCCCTGTGCGACTCCTGGGGAACGTCACACAGCTGCTACTCGAAGCCATGAAGACCTTCCCCAACCACCAGCAGGTACGTAAAAACAAGACTAAATGTAGAAAGCCCATCGTAGCCGAAATAAAATTATAGCTGAGAATATTAAATGTATTTTCTGTGAGATGGCTTAAAGTTGGGATAAAAAAAAAAAAGATAATTCCTCTAATTTTGTTGCCAAATACATTAAATGCTTAATGCTAAATGTTATATGCACTATAAATCTAGTTTATAATAAGCAAAACATGTATTTCCCTAAATGAACACAAGGAAGAATAACATTTACTCATTTAATTTACTATGCATGAATATATTGATACTTCAGCAGTATTTGTATTTTATACTATATGTGAATATATCAATATTTTATACTCTATATTATTTATATAGCTATGTTTATATTTTGATTTTTAAAAAATTATTTCTTTTTTAATAGTTTTTAGTACTGAATTCATTTATTGAAATGGACAGTTTGCACATATCCATGGGAATAAATCAACCTTACCTATTCAGAAGAGTGTTATTGTTAAAACAATAATTGTTTAAAATAAAAAATATTAAAAATAAAAACATTAGAAATGTAGAAATTACTAAAACTGAAATAAAAATAAATTTAAAAAAATTCAATTTAAAGCTAAAAAATAAATAGTAAAATTATTCAAACTTGAATTAAAATTAAAATTAAACCTGAAAATATATAAATGAACGTTAATTCAAAATATTAATATACTATAATATTATATAAATAATATTAAAATAACACTGACTCAAATGCTCTTTTTACTACTGAATTAAGCATCTTAACATGACACTACTTTAAAGGCATTTAGGAAAAACAGATTAATATCACTGCAGTATTTACTATGTTGCTTTTACATCACAAGCAAAATCGCCACTAGTATATTTTGAATATTTCAATATTATTCGGCTCAAATTGTTTCCCTCAGTGGATTCATAAATTAGATTGTATGGTATGATGAATGTATTTTGTAGTCAGGTCACTTTCACTTGTCAGCATGATTGTGTCAACACTTGTACAGGAAGTAGACTTTTCACACCAAAGTATGTGAGTGGAGTGGGAGTGGAGCGGCGTGATTTTTGACCTGGAACGAGGAGTGGATTTTTTTGAAAGTCGGAGCGTGGTTATCAAGAATTCACACTTTAAACATCATTAACTAGCTTGACAGATAGATAGCGGGAGGTTATATCTCAGGCATGTTTGTTTGTAGCATGTGGATACTCAATACTGATTGGGTGAAATCATGTTTTAAAACGGTTTATGGTACAGGTAGTTAATCTCCACTCTAAATGAATGTGCTGCTCCATTGCTGCACACGCGCACAACACACAAGCTCGCTCATAACGTACAGATTGCGTGCACATAGAAACATTCAGGAGTGCCGAAAATTGTCAACGCTGTCCTGTGATTTATCAGCTTAAAGGCGGAAAAGCTACAGCATATTCTTTCTGTTTCTGAAGTAACTTCAACCCTCAGCTTCGCCATAGTAGAGAGACGCTGCACAGACAAGTGAGTTAAACAGCCATTTAATATAGACTTGGGCTAATTGTAGTGTTCCAAAAACCACGTTAAAACTATTCTTCTAGTATAGTGTATTTATTTTTCGTTTAAAGGTGACATATCATGAAAATCTGACTTTTCCAGGTTTTAAGCGCTATAATCAGGTCCACGGTGCATCTACCAACCAAGGAAACGTGAAAAAGATTAACCCAGTAACTTTGTTTTGGTAAGCCTTTTTCTGCAAGCGTCTGAAAAAACGAGCGCGTCTGATTTCGTGTGCAACGAAACAAAAGTGACGTTGCAAAGGGATCTCATTATAATATTACCACCCCTGTAAGTTTCCACCCACGGTGCCGTCATTTTGATTTCACAAGCGACAATGGTGTACCAGTTCTAACGCCATGGCAAAAGTTTGAGCAAAACATGCTAACTGTTCTGCCTTTGGCTGCACAGACTAGCATAGAACACTATTTACAGTCCCAGCCTCAGAAAAGTTCTGAACAGACGTATAAAAATGCTTTAGCCACAAATTTCGTCATGGAGCAGGGGTTCTGATCAGTGGAGCGAGGAGCGGGAAATGCTAAACCCGGAGCGGAGTGATTATAGAATGCTTGGAGTGCGCAGGAGAAATTGTTGCCACTCCACTCGGCTCACATACTTCGTTTCACACAATAAGCATTTGTTCTTCCTGAGAACATTCAACATTCTCATTTTACACGATCATTCAGTTCCCCATGATGATACATCATTTCAAGAATGAGGAAAAGGTTTTACAGGTGCCAACAATGATTTCCCTTTGAACAGTTGTTCTGTTTCCCCCCCCACCCCCCAGCTGCAGAAGAACTGCTTGCTGTCTCTATGCAGTGATCGAATCTTGCAGGAGGTTCCCTTCAACAGGTAACACTTTTCATTTTCTGCTTAAAAATGTGATGATAATAATCACTCTATTCAGTTTTTATCAAGCTGCTAATAATAACTGAGGTAATATCAATACATATTAAAGTAATTTAGAAAGAGAAATCTAAATGTGCATGTTATTTTCATCTGTTTTGCATGAGCAGTATCATATCTGTTGGTCTTTTGTTGTGTTTGTTGCTTTTTGAAACTACCATATTCAAAAGTTAGAGGTTAAGACTTTTTAAATGTTTTTCAAAGTGTCTTATGCTTACCAAGGCTGCATTTATTTGATAAAAACAGCAATACTAAAGTAAAAACAGTAATATTACTGTTTTCTATTTGAATATATTTTAAAAAGTAATTTATTCAGCATCATTACTCCAGTCTTCAGTCTCACATGATCCTTCAGAAATCATTCCAATATGCCGGTTTTGTTGTGCTGCTAATTGTTTTTAAGATTCTAACATTAATTGTAATATTATAGTCACTTTTGATCAATTTAATGCATCCTTGCTGAATATAAGTATTGTTAAAAAGTATGTCGAAAGAATACGTATGTAGACTGTTAACTTGAAACTGTGTGATTACAGACAGTTGTCACCCTTGGCAAGTGTATCAGCCAATCAGAATGTAGAATTCAGCAGTTCTGTTGTGTAAATACACAAAGTCTACACACCTACTCATGACTGTTTACAACATTTCTAAAATGCAATAACATTTTAGATGAAAAGGTTATCAGATAAATGCTTTCGGTTCAAACTGGTAGTGTGTTGTCTTGTTGACGGATTTAAACGTCACATCAGTTTATGTGGATAAAATATGATGTTTGTTCAGGTTTGAAGCTGCCAAGCTGGTCATGCAGTGGCTGTGTAACCACGAGGATCAGAACATGCAGAGGATGGCTGTGGCTATTATCTCCATCCTTGCTGCCAAGGTGAGCAGGTGCAGTCGGCGCTTGAGAACAGGTTTAACCGTAGAGAGTAAACATAAGCTGGGAGCCTTCAAGAAGAGATTCAGAACATTCTATCACAGTGATGCATCATGAAATGCAGAGTGACAGATTCTCTGTGTCAGCCAGCACTTCCCCTTGGGGGAATCCAGTCACCATTCTGAAATGCGCTCCACTTCGTCAAGTGGATAAGGGAAGTTTATATGGACAGACCCTCGACCTCGAGTGAGTCGACTCGTTTGTACACTTCAGGCAGCTCCATATACCACAGTGCAACACGATTGTGGCGTCACAGCAGGCTGCGCTTAAAAGGACAGTTCACCCAAAAATGAAAATTCTGTCATTTATTTTAACCCTCAAGTTGTTCCAAACTCAAAGAAACAAACTCATACAGGTTTGGAACAACTTGAAGTTAGAAGAGGAAGAATGTTCATAACCAAACAGTTGACTTCAATAGTTTTTTATTTATTTATTTTTTTTCCATAACCTAACTCGACTCTTTGTGTGTTTCTTTAATAGTTGTCCACTGAGCAAACTGCACAATTAGGAGCTGAACTTTTTATCGTAAAGGTAAGGTTTTTTTTTTTTTTAACATTTGTAACGCTTGAATGGGAGGAATAGTGATTCTTATCTCTCTCACATTCTTCACATCATAGCAACTCCTGCACATTGTGCGGCAGAAAACGTGTCAGGGTATCGTGGACGCCACGTTGAAGTTCACACTCAGTGCTCTGTGGAACCTCACAGATGAATCTCCTACCACCTGCAGACACTTCATAGAGAACCAGGGACTAGAGCTCTTCATCAAAGTACTCGAGGTAAACACTTCAAACCTTTTTATAGAATTTTTGGAAGAACATAACTGTACTTTGTTAAAAACCTGCCTTGAAGTTCTCATCTGAAAATATCTCTGTTTTTCCAGTCCTTTCCATCAGAGTCGTCCATTCAACAGAAGATCCTGGGTTTACTGGTAAGAAACAGTGGGGGGGTCAAAACTTCACATTGAGAATGTGGGATTCAAAAACTTTAAAATGTTATTTTAATTAGTTTTAATTTTAGCATTTTTATTGTAGCACATAAATAATTATATATATATATATAATCGCATAATCACTTTTTTTCACAATTTTTTTTAAAGAAATTAAAACTTTTATTCAGCAAGGATTCATTAAATTGACCAAAAGTGACAAAGACTTTCCTTAAAAATTATATTTCAAATAAATGCTGTTCTATTGAACTTTCTACTCATCAAAGAATTTGTGAACAAAAAATTTATCACATTTTCCACAAAAAATATGAAGCAGCACAACCGTTTTCAACATTGATAATAATCATAAATGTTTCTTGAGCAGCAAATCAGCCTATTAAAATGATTTCTGAAGGATCATGTGACACTGAAGACTGGAGTAATGCTGCTGAAAATTCAGCTTTGCCATCACAGGAATAAATGACATTTTAAAATGTATTTAAATATAAAACAGTTATTTTAAATTGTAATAATATTTCACAATATTACTGTTATTTTTTGATCAATTATATGTAGCCTTGGTGAGCATAAGAGACTTCTTTTAAAATCCCCAAACTTTTGAACGTGCGTGTGTGCGTGCATATTATTTTTTAGAAGCATATATAACATCAAATAGAAGCATTTTTTTGTATCAAGCCTCCAGTAATTCTGTGCTGGATATGCACTGGAGAGGGAAATACATATTGCAGTGTTTTGCTCTGGTGAAATTGAATTGAGGAGAGTGATTCTGGAGCTGTGGGCAGCACTGATAAAACGCCTTCTCGTGTCAAAGGAAGCCATGCTGAGGGATTATGCAAAAAGTTTCCCTTAGTTAGAAAGTATAATGAGACTGTTTCACTTTGCATTCAGTTGTATTTTTGGAGCTGTGGTCCCCTGTGCTATTGTCCTTTTTCTATCTTGTCTAGTTCTGAATGTGTTTGTTTCGCTTGTATTCAGAATAATATCGCCGAGGTGGGGGAGTTGCACGGTGAGCTGATGGTTCAAAGTTTTCTGGATCACATTCGCTCTCTGCTGCACAGTCCAGAGGTGGAGGTCAGTTATTTTGCCGCAGGCATCTTGGCCCACCTCACCTCACGGGGCGAGAAGGTGTGGACCCTCGACCTGTCACTCAGGACCACACTGCTAGAGCAACTGGTGCGTGCTTGCTCAAATTGGGTATTTGGGTATTATTGCACCAGAGGCCCGAGTAAATAGTTTAATCATTATGTATCTCTCGCAGCATTCAGCGATTCTGAAGTGGCCATCGCCGGAATGTGAGATGGTAGCGTACAGGTGAGAAATGACAAAACCACATCATGAAAAACATGCTTCACTGAATGTGAAGCATGGACAGTGTCGAGTACTAAAGGGGTCTGCTACTCAACAACAGAGTTTGCCAGGTCTGGTCTCGGGTCGAGCAAGGTTTTGGTCATGTTTTTGTAGAGCACTATTACTGTTGAAATTTCAATCCATTATTAAAGTTTTGAATTCAGTTGATTAGATGTACTTTTTCATTTTAAAATGTATTTAAACCATTAAAAAAGCATCCTAAAAAATTTAAACTGAAAACACAGAATTAAAAGTAAAATGGATTCATAGGGCTCTTATATCCTCAAGCTTGTGTTGAGTTTGGGCTTGAAATTTATTTTAAAAAATGTCTAAAAATATATTATAAGATAAATATGATTTTTTTTTTTTTTGTGAAAAGTCAGTGAAAGACAACATTAAGTAAATGTTACTTGAACCACAGGAATGAATTGAATAATGCAATACTATTTTTCTATTTATTTTATGTCATGCAAAATTTGTACTTAAATGTACAAAAAAATCTGTTACTGTGCTACTAAATGTCTAAATAAAATTTAAGGTACAGATTTTTATCAATAAACATTTAATATATGATGTTAAATTTGTAAAATGCATAAAATGTCCATTAATAATACAAAAATGGCAACAAGGTAACAACAAGACATTTGCTTTTCCTAAATGAAGTTATTAACTAAAACATTGACAGCACTGGCTGTGTTGAGCAGTGTTGTTTTTGTATTTTAAAGATACTATTACAGTATTTATTAATATTTGAATAATGGACAATAATTATGTTCAGTTTTCATTTTAATTTCCTAATTTAATTTTAGTTTCTTAAACTGAATTTTTAATTTTATGTGCCTATTTTATGTTTTATTTTTTTAATTATTTCTATTTATTTTTATTTCCATTTTTTTCCCTGTTATTACACTTATTTTTAGTTTTTTACATTTCTAATTTTCATTTACGTTTTTCATTTAATATTTGTTTTATTTCAGCTTTATTTCCATTAAAAAATAAAAAATAATAGTTTTAGTTAACAATAACACTTGACATGACACTAGTGTTCAGTCAGGTCATGGTGGTCTTGCTTCTAGGAGACTCGTTGGGTTCAGGCTTCAGTTTAATGCTTGTGCAGACCCCTTTCAAGCGCTCTTCTACTATGCACTAGAATGAAAAAGATTTATAGTACCGGTATTATAAAGAGATCAAGTGTTTAGTGTACATCTCTCTGTGTCTTTTTCAGGTCGTTCAACCCTTTCTTCCCTTTACTGGAGTGCTTCCAGACCCCAGGAGTCCAGCTGTGGGCCGCATGGGCCATGCAGCACGTCTGCAGCAAAAATGGTGAGATCAGCACCATAAACCCAACGCTCCAAAGCCCAAAGACTTTGTGTTCATTTTATTTTCCCTTTCTGCCTTCATGAATGCAGCGGGCCGGTACTGCAGCATGTTACTGGAGGAGGGAGGACTGCAGCAGCTAGAGGCCGTGAGGTCACATCCCAAAACCCAAGGCGACGTGCTGCGATTGGCTGAAAGCATCCTTGACAGCTTGCATCGCCACAAAGCGCGCACAGGATACACAGGACCGCCCAAAATACACACACATAGAGGTACATGTCCACAGAAGAACCAAAGTCAAACGGTTTTGAAATGACAGAACTGTTTCTTTTCAATTGTAATTTTTTTATTTATTCCATATTTCTCTTTGTTTTCCAGAGAAAAACGTTCCATGACAAGATCAGTGGTCTCTGGATAGGACACCATAAAAAATTGGAAGCTTTTTGTATGTGTATGTGTTCACTCGTGCCCATCCGTATGACAATGACGCTCTGCTGCTCACGACGGAATCCGTTATTTATTTGACATAAGAAATAAGTCTCCGTGATCTGAGGAAAAGTTTATTTAGACGGGCAGCAGCTCAGAGAGTGTTTATGTTAAAACGTGGGACGTATGTGAGAGTTTATATGTTTGTGCATGTGTGTATTAAGAGCATGTGCATCAGATTGCTATGTATGCATATTCAGATTTTGGATGCAGCTCCTTAGGAAATTTCATTTATTTGACAGATTTCTGTCCTGTTGGGCATAAAATGCATTAATATAAAGACACAACAGATACAGTTGTGTTACATGGAAATACATGAACTGTTTAGTAACTTTCAGTGTGGAATATGTTAAACTGCATGTGTGAGAGAGGGGGGGGAAAAAAGTGTGATCTGTGTGTACAAACGTGAGACAACCGCTTGTCAACACACTGAACAGCATGAGAGCTTTAGGGATGAAATCTATTTTTATAGACTGTATAAAAACGGTGGCAGATGACAATGTTTATGGTGTGGTGTTGCACGCAAAGTATTATGATCCAGATTTGAGTTTGTTTCCAAAAATAGTACTAAGTGGACTGAACATCATGTAAGCTCAAGACGAAAGATTCCTCAAGAACCCGGAGCTCTTCAGAAGCAAACGAAACTGGTGGAGATGATTAAAATCAAAGCTTTTGCCTTTGCAGGAATATGTCAATAAATGGATTGTTGCCTCAGAAACCTTGTAAAAAAGGTACAAGCACCTTTGTAAAAAAATCAAGAAGAAGATTTTTGTTCTGATCGTGGCATCTTTGGAGCGCTGGTGATTTGCCAAAAGTCATTGGATTTGCCTTTTTGCGAAACATGCTTGCATTGAACTTTAAGTTTGATTTAATTTAACGCCAATGAAGCTGTTAAACAGCAGGTTCAACTTGTCTTGTTTGAAGTTGCAATAAAAAAAAAATGATACTCCATTTGTTCCAGTGATCTAACGAAGCTTTTTTTGTATATAAATGTTTCAATTCCCTGGATGTGTATGCTTCCTTTTTTTTGGTTATTTATTTGGTTTTCTGTTCGTAACTGGGCCATGTTTTATGATGAGATAGATGCTCCAGGAAATGTGCTTTGCTCCAGAAAATCTTATTGATGCATGCAGCTGTTCTTGCAGATGGCATGAAATATAAGTATTTGTTATAATTTGTACTGTAATTCAAATTTTGTTTGGCAACTTAGGCCAGGTTTATACACCTGAAATACATCACAACAATGTCCATTTTTGGATTCAGCTTCGACATTAACAAATATTGGCGTTAAATGGTGTATAAATGGACCAAATGAGTTCACAGAACTCTACAGGCCCAGCGTGGAGACCCTAGGCATGTATGTGGCCCTCCATGACAGATTTCGGTTCTGTGCCACACTACTGTTCTCTTCCTCACTCAGAATGTGGATTGAGCAGCAAAACAAGAGTAAACTAGTGTCATACTGCTGCTCAGATTCACAGTTATGCAAATTATGTTTGGGGAATAAAGAATGTAAAACCCCTGCTGCTTCGGTCTGCTGTTAATCTTTATTAATACATTCATTTTAAAGTATCTTTTTCAAATTAAAGTATCCTTAAAATTTGAAGAATATCCTAGCTCAAAATTTTACTTTGTTTTTCAGTTTGCTTTTTATTTCTAGAATGCTTTTATTTAATTTTTAACCCCTTAACGGTCACTAAGTTTACTTCAATATATGATTATTAAATCCTAATCTAATCATGGCAAACTATGTATCTTTGGAAAGGTCTAAGACTCCTAAATATATATTTTACCACTATTTGTTGTAAAAAATTAGGTAGGAACAGTAGTAGATTAATTTATGATAAGAGTGCACCTCAAAACATATACTTCATAACAGGAGTTCTGACCTTTGTCACAAAAAATTATTTTTCGTTTGCTTTTTCCCTATCACGTTTTAGTAATCATCATAAAGAAAGCTTAAAACCTCAAAATTCATCCTATGAAAACCATTTTGAAATCGGACATTGCGTTACCATAGAAATGGTACTTTAATATCTTTTAGCGGGCTCCTCCCCCTTAGTGGGAGGAGTCATATAACAAAATGTATTACGGTCTTTTGGAATCAAAACTTTTTATAATCTTGACAAAATACATATCGCCGGAAAGGTCTGAGTCTCAAGATTTCATATTTGGTGGTTATTTTGTGATAGAATTAATACTGAGAGAGACATTTATACATTTGTGACAGAAAAAAACAATGGCTGTTTGTGGTATAACACCTAAACAAAATTGCATAGGAACGTCAATTTTTTTAATATCAACTTCAAATTTGGAACATAACTCATTTAGACACTGTCTTATTTAAAAAGAGATCAACCTTAGGTCTGTATTCAAAAGCGTTCATGAATTATAACAATTTAAGTCTGAATAGTGCACTTTCATGTCTATGTTCAAAAGGGGAGGGGGGGGTTACAGTTAAGAGGTTAATTACTTTTTTAAACTATTTTATTTTCTGTATTTTCATAATTGAGAGAAAATGGTCTATCCAGAAAAAAAAAAAGAAGACCATGACAAAGTCCTTTTTAAATTATTTGTGGCAGTTATTTTTACGCATTGCAAAGCTCAGATTTCAAAGGAAATTGAAACCCAACACTTGGTACAATGTAGTAACGCAAGTACAGCATGTTCAGAATGTTTGTACTAGTACCATGTGGATTTGAAACGTGTTTTGCAGATATAGACTTTCACTCTCCAATGTACCTTGGAGACCTCTTTTCTATAAACGCAGCCATGCCCTCTTGTCTGTCCCGTGTAGGAATGAGCTGAGAAACCACAAAACATTCACAGTTAAACCAAGCACACAAAATACTGCAACAAAATGAAATTGTGCAGATTTTATTCATATGGTTTATGTATAACACTCACCCTGGCGTAACACATTCCCTCAATAGCCATTCCTGAAGAGATGTCCACCTCAGAGCCTCGATTCATGGCTACTTTAGCCATTCGCACGGCAATCAGAGCCTGAGAGAGGAAAACAAAAATAAATCTTCTGTTCAAAACACTTTTTCAGTTTTCATTTTCTGTAGTTACTAGGGTATTTTTCTTACTCTGTTTATTTTTTGATTCACTTTTAGTTTTTAGTTTTAGCTTTAACAGCAGTTATGAACCATATTAAAAGGAATGTTGGCAAGAAGTACAAAAATAATTGTCATTTTAATTTATTATTTTTAATTTACATTAAAAATAATACTTTTATAATGTTTCACGAAGGCAGCTTTTATTTGATCGAAAATACAGTAAAACAGTATTATTGTAAAAATATATTATGTTTTAAAAATAAATAAAAAATAATTTGTGTACTTCTTGCCAACATTCCTATTACTATTGCTCATAAAACTATTATTTAAATAATAAATATTACAATATAAAATAACACTTTTTTTTAGTTTTGTAGATTTTAAAATGTAATTTATTTCCGTGGTGCAAAGCTGAATTTTCAGCATCATTACTCCAGTCTTCAGTGTCACATGATCCTTCAGAAATCATTCTAATATGCTGATTTGTGATACATTTGTGAAACTGTGATACATTTTCTCAGGATTCTCTGATGAACAGAAAGTTCAAAATAAGAGCATTTATTTGAAACATAAATCTTTTGTATCAATGCAAAGATCTTTACGGTCAATCAATTAAATGCATCCTTGCTGAATAGAAGTATTCATTTCTTAAACGGTAGTGTAAGTCTGCCTATAATACAGGCCACTGTTTATTATCTTTCACTGCAACTGTACAATCTGCACTGTATCTGTCTAAGGCACAGTCACATAATCATGATACAGTTAAGTCAGGTGGGCAGAAGTGCAGACAAGCGTTATTGTGGCCTGACGTGTCTGAATGACGTTCCCACGTTGACCGAAATAGGACATCTTCATTTTAATCTAATATAATGACTTGTCAATCATGGGGAAAACCAGAAAAGCAGGATGTTCTCATTGTCACGCAATAATTTTGTACAGTACAGAAGATTCCAGTTCCACAAATCCACATGCCAAGTCATATAATGACGACGATATGACACATATTTTCAGGTTCGCTCCAAAGGCAATGAATTGCAAGGTCATGCACTTGATTACGCACGTGTCTTTTGTACCATTTACGTTGTTTATCGCGTTAAATGTGTGCTCTGGACACTAGTGGGCCTGAGGGAAGACTGTAATGGCACATTTGAGCCAGGTCTGTCTTGAGGGTATACATATTCATGGCCAGCCTGTCGTCTTGAGTCATGATGTGAGACGCTCCCATGTGACAGTACAGTGTCACATGACGCAAATGAGATTAAAGCACAAGTACACAATGAAATGCCTGTGGCTATAGCTGAACTAGTATGCAAACTATTTCATAACCACAGAAACATACAAACATAAGCGTACACATAATCATAGATGCATACAAATCATATCTCTAAGCTACACTTATCAAATAATGAAAAACCCTGCCAAATTAACCACACACACATAAACAGGGTCCATATACACCATCTGTAGATGTTTACTTCACAAAATTATATATATAAAAATGATTATAAATAAATGATATATACTGTATATATAGACACATCTACCATTTTTTAGCAAGGTAGCATTAAATTAACCAAAAATGACCATTAAGGCATTTATAATGTTACAAAAGATTTATATTTCAAATAAATGCTGCTCTTCTGTGACTGCGGTCACAGAAATAAAATTACATTTGAAATACATTCAAATAGAAAAAAGTTTTTTTTTCTAATAATATTTTTTTTTATATATATATATATATTTTAAAATATAATTATATATTGTAAAAATATTGTAAAAACACACACAAATATATATATATATATATATATATATATATATATTGTATATGTTGTA